ATCACAAATCAAGTTGTTTTACATTCCATTACGGAAACTACCTTAAACTTATCTTTTAATATAGATGGCCTCCCGTTATTTAAATCCAGTTCTACTCAACTGTGGCCAATTGCAGTATCTATTATAGAATTTGACCCTTTTCTTGTTGGACTTTATTGTGGAGAAAGCAAACCGCCCTGCGATGTTTACTTGAGAGAATTTGTTAATGAGTTATTAGAATTACAAGACAGTCTTATTGTAGTAAACAATGTTCATTACAAAGTTAATATTTGTTCATTTATTTGTGACGCTCCTGCTCGAGCTTTATTAAAAGGTATTGTTAGTCACTCAGGATTTCATTCTTGTGAGAGATGTACCATAGTGGGAGAAAGTATAAGCAGTCGAACTGTTTTCTCAATGAGAGAAGAAGGTGTTGTTTTAAGGACAAGTCAAAAATTCAAAAATGACGAGTATTTTGAAAAAGATTTAAATGGAAGAGCACATCAACACAGTAAATCAGTTTTAAGAAAAGTTACATCTGTAAATTTTATAAATATGTTCCCACTTGACTACATGCACTTAGTGTGTCTAGGATGCATGCGTAGGCTGCTGTATTTCCTTAAAAGAAATATCAAAGGAACTATTAAGGGGAAATTGTCTGCTAATATGATAAACCAAATTTCTGAAAAGCTTGCTGCTTTAAATGGTAAACTACCAAGCGAGTTTGTCAGACAGCCTAGATCACTGACTGAACTTGATCGGTGGAAAGCTACTGAACTCAGATCTTTTTTGCTATATACTGGTATAGTTGCATTAAAGGGGGTTGTTGACAGCTCTATTTACAAGCATTTTTTAAGTCTGTCTCTTGCGATAAGGTTTTTATGTGAAAGTGATGATGTATTGAGAAACTCGAATCTAGAAAATGCTCAACAACTTATTGAATATTTTGTTATTAATTCTAATGAGGTTTATGGAGATTTGTTTTGTGTATATAATGTACATGGACTTTTACACATTTGTGATGATGTAAAGTTTTATGGAGTCTCGCTTGATAAATTGTCTGCCTTTATGTTTGAAAACTATCTTCAGAAATTGAAAAGATTAGTTCGCAGCAAACGTAACCCTTTGGCTCAAGTATGTAAAAGGTTAGATGAAATGACTGACTACAAGCAAGTTAAAAAAGTGACAGGTAGAATGACCACAGCCAAAAAAGATTCTTGTTTTTTAACTGAGGATAGCATTGTATTTCTTCAAAAGTTAGTTAATGAAGACCACTATCAGTGTTTTTCTTATAGCATACAGTTTATAGATAATTACTTTACTTCTTTTCTTCCTTCAAGAGATATTGGAATCTACTTTGTCAGGAGTACAATAAAACCTGTTGTTTGTGTTATGCAGAAAAACAGCTTTTTGCGGAAATGTATTTTCATGAAAGTTAAAGATGGATTTGTTGTTTCTGCTTTGGTGCATTCTGTTGAGTTAAGTGGAGAATGTTGATATGATTTACAAGAACAACATTTTATGCATTTACTTTTATTTATAATTTTTATTAATAGATTGTTGCCAGGTTACATAAAAGTATGAATAGGATTATTTGAATGAATATACGTATTAAATTTTAATTGATTTAGGTTACATATAATATTTATAAATAAATATTACAAACAGAGCCATGTTTTCACAAGAACAACATTTCATACATTTACTTTTGTTTATAATTTTTTTAAACAGATTATTGCTGAATATATACACACATTTTAAATTTTAATATGTAGGTATATATTCTGACCCTATACTGTAACCTTTTGATGGCCAAATTTATTATTATTATTATTATTTTGATTGATATTTTTTAATATATATATATATATATATATATATATATATATATATATATATATATATATATATATATATATATACATATATATAAACATATATATTTTTTAAGTTTATATTTTTGTTATACGATATTATATGCTGAATTTGAATGTGTTTTTTTTATTATTACACTTGTTTCTGACCGCTATAGGTCAGCGAAATATCGTAAATATGTAATTATACCAAAATATA